ACATACACACATACATACACACATACACACATACATACATACATACATGCATACATGCATACATACATACATACATACATGCATGCATGCATGCATGCATGCATGCATACATACATACATACATACACACACACATACACACATACACACATACATTCACGCATGCATACATACATACATACATAAACACATACACACATACACACATACATACATACATACATACATGCATACATACATACACACATACACACATACACACATACATGCATACATACATACATGCATGCATGCATGCATGCATGCATACATACATACATGCACACATACATACATACATACATACATACCTACATACACACATACATGCATGCATGCATACATACATGCATACACACATACACACATACACACATACCCACATACACACATACGTACATACATACATTTATACATGCATGCATGCATGCATGCATGCATGCATGCATACATACATACACACACACATACATACATACATACATACATGCATGCATGCATGCATGCATGCATACATACATACAGACATACACACATACACACATACACACATACATACATACATACATACATACATCCATGCATGCATGCATGCATGCATACATACATACAGTCATACACACATACACACATACACACATACATACATACATACATGCATACATACATACATGCATGCATGCACACACATACACACACACATACATACATACATACATACATACATACATACATACATACGTACGTACATACATACATACATACATACATGCATACATACATACATACACACGTACACACATACACACATACACACATACACACATACATACATACATACATGCATGCATGCATGCATGCATGCATGCATACATACATACATTCATACACACACATACATACATACATACATACATACATACATACATACATACACACACACACATACACACATACACACATACACACATACATACATACATACATACATACATACATACATACATACATATATACATACATACATACATACATGCATGCATGCATGAATGCATGCATGCATGCATGCATACATACATACATACATACATAGAAATAAATAAATAAATAGATGTATACAAGAATCCTTACAAGTACGCAAAAGCGCAACGAACAAAAAACATAAAAAAACTGTGTTTGGACTTGTTTTGCATATCCTCCCTGTAAGGGGACACGCCCGACTCAATCCTTGTTCGGGGGCGCGCAAGCATGGAGTGGCGACGCCTGGCTTTGGGGCGCGGTCGCCAAATCCATGGATCGGGAGAGGTGCCCTCCTCCCCAGAACGCGGCCGGTGCCGCCCCGATCGGCGGCGGAGACCCGCCAACTCCCATGCGAACATCCGGCAAGTCGCTGATATCCAGACTTCGAGGGAGGAGGAGGAGGAGGAGGAGGAGGAGGAGGAGGAGGAGTAGGAGGAGGAGATCCGGCAAGTCGCTGATATCCACGCCCCCGTGATCCATGTCTGCGATCGCCCGACTCTGGGGAGGCACTCTGGAACATGTTCGGGGAACGGGGACCAGCTTGAGGCCGGGCCTGTCCCCCCACAGGGGGCTTGTGGAGGAAAGATCAAAAAAATATCAGAAAATCAGGAGATCTGCAAAAATAATCCAAAAATCGTCCCCACACTATGTTTGTTACTGTGTTTGAATCTTCCTCCTGTCGAGGGACGTGCCCGACTTAAGACTAAGTTAACTGTCCGACTTCCCCCCCCCCTGGCCGACTCTGACTGGACGACGGGCCGACTGGCCGGCTGGCTGACTGGCTGACGTGCCGATGGGCCGGCTGGCCGACGGGCCGACGGGCCGGCTGGCCGGCTCGGCCGACTCCCAGACGGGCCGACGGGCCGACGGCCGTCGGAGATCTTCTGACCCGGGTCAATCCAGACCCGCGTGAATCAAGCCTTGCAAAATCCTGCAAGATCCTGCACGCAAACCCAGGTCAATGTGACGGATCCTGCAAGATCCTGAACCCAAACCCGGGTCAATGCGACCCTGGCCCTGCAAGATTCTGCAAGATCGGGCGCTCTGGTTGACCCCTGTTTTCATTGACCCCGTCTCAAGGCTCCCGATACGGAGTCGAAAATTCCTGCCGGTGCCTCAAAAATTGACCTTTTCCTCTGGGCGGGCATCGGCGGCCCCTCGGCTTATGTTTGTTCCCATCGTGCTTGAAGACCACGTCCCAAAGATAATTTCGAGCACCCGGCAACGTGTCGAAAACGTGTGGAGACAGTGTCGAAACAGTGTCGATCAAGTGTATCACGCGAGAAGCCTCTAGCTTCGGCACTTTCTTGGCGCTCGAAACTCTCCCTGGTGATCAAGGCCAAAGTCGGGGATGGACAGAACCTTAGTGAAAATGACCTCGGGCACAAACCTGGCGGGCGCAAGCCTGGAAAATGACGGCCGCCGCGCCCTCTCGCGAACCGAAAACGGACAATTCACGAATCGAGGTGTCAGGGTTGGGGTTCTGTCCACCCCCGATAAAGTAGGCAGGATCAGCACAACACTCCAGGCCCCCTCGGCGAGGCCCACTGAAGGGGCCCTGGGACACACAAATAGATACACACAAATAGCAGGATTCCCCATAGTTCCCCATAGTTTCTGGGTTTTCGTCTCCCTCCCCACTTCCCATATTTTCCCATATGTTCCTGGAAGTCGACGATGAATTGTGTCTGTGTGTTTTTGTTCCTCTTTCTTTCTTTCTTCTTTCGCAGCGGCGTTGAGCTCATACGTCTCGTCGGTGATACCCAAGGATAGAGAATCAGCTACATGAGAAAATGGCGGATTGCCAAACATCTACGTCGTGTGCGCGTTGCGTGGGGTATCTTGGGGATGCCTGCCGGCCCTCCACCGGCAATCAAGTCGCGAACAAAGTCCCAAAGTGAACGCATAGCTAAGCATTCGACTTCTGAGCTGCTCCGGGCCTTCACTGGATAATACTTGGCCCACCCCGTCGGGGGCCCCCCGGGCGCCCAGAGGGCTCTTGGCGCGACGCCGCGAGGCCCAGCGGCCAGCGTGCGGGCGGCGCGCAGGGCTCGTCGCTCATCCACGCCGCCGTTATCCATGTCTGAAGGGGCCCCAGGACACACAAAGAAGTGCACACAAATCAAAAGATGCCCCATAGTTTCCCCTATGTTCTGGGTCCTTGTCTCCCCCCCCACTTCCCATATTCTCCCAGATATTCCTGGGAGTCGACGAGTCATTGTGTCTGCGTGTTTTTTTTCCTCCCGGCCCACCCCGTCGGACGCCCCCCCGGGGGCCCCGTGGGACCGTCGCTCGAGCGGCGGCGGTCCGCGGGGCGAGGGCCTCGGCGGGCCCCTCGGGCCATCGCCCCCTCCTCGACCTCGTCCTCGTCGTCGTCGTCCTCGTCCTTCCTCGTCCTTCCTCGTCCTCCTCCTCCTCCTCCTCCTCCTCCTCCTCCTCCTCCTCCATTTCCTCCTCCATTTCCATTTTCTCCTCCTCCTCCTCCTCCTCCTCCTCCATTTCCTCCTCCATTTCCATCTCCTCCTCCTCCTCCTCCTCCTCCTCCTCCTCCTCCTGCGGGATCGAGAGTCTCGGGGGCGAGGACCGGCGATCGGGGATCGGGGAGGGCCCGCGGTCCGAAGATCCGGGAGGTCCAGCAATCGGGGATCGGCGACCGAGGATCGAGAAGCACCAACGATCGAGGATCCTCACTCGATCGCCGGTCGAGGGGCGGCGATTGAGGACCGTCGCTCGACTGGGAATCGAGCAACCTGCGATCGGGGATCGACGATTCGAGGGGAAGCAACCATCGAGGGTCGATGATTGGCGGTCGACGCGCCACGGGGAGCGCAAGCCAGCAGAGTCGACACTCGCTCCCGCCCCGATTCCTCATCCTTCTCCCTCTCTACCTCCTCCGCCGCCTTCCCCCTCCTCTGTCACCCTCCCTCCCTCCTCCTCCTCCTCCTCCTCCTCCTCCTCCTCCTCCTCCTCCTCCTCCTCCTCCTCCTCCTCCTCCTCCTCTTGCTCCTCCTCTGGCGCCTTCCCCATACTCCTCCGACTTCCCTCCTCTTCCTCCTACCCTGGTGCCTGGTGCCTGGAGGCGAAAGGAGCCGTCGGATGCCGCCCTCCCACCCAGGGCTGGTCGTCCCTGGGGGTGTGTTGAATCGAAAGCCAGGCGACTCCTGTAGCACTGCTCCAGGAGTCGCTAGCTGGTGGGAGATTATGAGAAGAGGGGGAGGAGAGGGACAGCAGACATGAGAGGGAGGAGAGAAAGAGAGAGAGAGAGGGAAAGAGGCATAAAAAAGTAAGGAAGGAAGGGGAGAGAGGGAATGGTTCAAGGTCTCTCAGAAAGCTCCCCCAGGTCTCCAGAGATGCCCGGGAGTCTCTCGACGTCTCCAGACACCCCCAAAAAAACAGGCCAATAACAAGGGCCCGAATGGCCTCGACCCATTTCTGGGAGGTAACTTTTCGTCCTGGATCAATGCGGTGCTGCTGGGGCCAGAAAGAGGACTCCAGAAGCCGAAATGCAGGAAAAAAAAACCAGGATCCAAAAGTCAGTCCGCCCAAGACCTGTGACTGCCCACGCAGTCGACTTCCTGGCCCTGCGCCGCGGGGGCCCCCGAGCGGTGCGGTGACAGACCGTGCCGCGGCCTCGAGACCCCGAGAGACCCCACCGCACGGCGACTCACCGCACGGTCTGGGGGCCCTGGAGGCCCCAGCCGCCCAAGACATCCTCGGAGAAAGACCCGAGCCCCAGGACCGCGCGGCCGCCCCGGAACCCGACGTCGCCGCCGCCGCCGCCGCCGCCGCCGTGGCCGCCTCCGCCGCCGCCGCCGCCGCCGCCGCCGCCACACGGCGTGGTCACCACGGCGTGCGGGGGCCTCTGCGCGTCGCGTGCGCGCCGCTCCCCGGGGCTCCCGGGCGCGGCCCTCCGCCGGGGCGGGGCGGGGCGGGCGGCGCACTGCCCGGCGTATCGCGAATAAAACTTGTCTATGGCGTCCTCGAACGCCTTGGCCTGGGCGCGCGTCGGCGGGAGGCCCCGCGGCGGTGGGGGGGGGGGGCAGAGAGACGCGGGCACGCCTGGAGCCCGTGAAGAAGAAGGGGGAGCCCGGCGCAGGCGCGCACCGCAACGCACGCCCGCACTCCCGCACACGAACACACGCCCACACACACACACACACACACACACACACACATGCATTCACAGACACACACACACACACACACGCGCGCGCGCAATCTTAATACGCATGTCTGTATATATATATATATATATATATATATGTGTGTGTATATATATACATATGTGTGTAACAATACCCGCAGTGCCATTGTTATTGTTATTAGTAGTCGCATCATGGTTATAAAACATGTTGTTAGTAGTATGATTACTCGCACTAGTCTTCGCATTAACACTATCATTCCCCACATGCTTAGTGGGTCTCTTGTTTTCTTCTAGCCCGCGTCGCACCCGCGTCTCCCTCACCTCCCTCTTCCCTCCTCCCTCTCCTCCTCTTCCGATCTCCCTCTACCCACACAGCCGCACGCACGCACACACTCGCACACACCCAAAACGCATGCACAACATACTGGGCACCCACATGAGACACACGTCCCAGTACGGCCGCACACACACACACACACACACACACACACCATACACATACACATGGCCTGCCATAGACAAGGCGTGCGTTTCGGATCTGCAGCGCATGGCAGGCGTGGCACATTCTCGACACTAGAGGGAGTGCGTTGGGAGTGGTCCCCCTATTCGTTGCAGGCGCGCGGGCGTGGCAGGCTTGGCACTTCCTCGGCACCACAGGGGGTGCACTGGGGGTGGTCACCCTATCCGCTGCAGGCCCGCAGGGCATGGCAGGCGTGGCATTTCCTCGACACCACAGGGGTTGCGCCGGGGGTGGTCCCCCTATCCGTTGCAGGCGCGCGGGGCGTGGCAGGCTCGACACTTCCTCGACACCACAGGGGGTGCGCTGGGGGTGGTCTCCTTATCCGTTGCAGGCGCGCGAGGCGTGGCAAGCTTCGCACTTTCTCGACACCACAGGGGGTGCGCTGTGGGTGGTCTCCCTATCCGCTGCAGGCTCGCAGGGCGTGGCAGGTCTGGCATTGCGCATAGATGGTAATGGTTAGCAAACACATAAGACAGAAGCCATGAACTAAGCATGCGGGTTCATCGGTAGCGGAATTACAATTATTATTATCATTAGTGTTCGCATTAGCATTATTGCTGGTACTAGCAATAATTATGTATCATTAGTATTAACAGCACTCTTATTCTGAATAGTGGTATTAGTATTACTACCGCTAACATTAGCAATCGTATTAGTAATGTTGATGTTCCTTGATTAGTTGTATTATTCATGTTAGTGTTGTTGAGATTGTTCGTAGTAGTAGCGTTAGTCGTAGTATTCCGTGCTTTCGTCGTATTGGTCTTCGCACATGTTTCGTGGTAGTGTTTTTCTGATTCCTCTTAGTATGATTCGTCTAAGTATTAGTAATCCCAACCATCCTGTGGTGTTGGGTCCTCGTTTTGAAGAGACGGCGCCCCGCGTTCCCGCTTCCCACCTCCTTCTTCCCCCTCCTCTTTCCCCTCCTCCTTCCTCCCATCGACCTCGTCACCTCCCTGCGTTTCACCCACCCAGGACAGCGCTTCGTGGCCCCATAGGGAGCTCCACCGAAGGCTCCGGTGGCACAGGCCGCATGCGTCACCGCCACCCAGGACAGCGTTCCGTGGCCTTGAGCTCCCCAAAAGGCTCCAGTGGCACAGGCCGCATGCGTCAACGCCACCCAGGACAGCTCTTCGTGGCCCCGTAGGGAACTCCACCGAAGGCTCCAATGGCACAGGCCGCATGCGTCACCGCCACCCAAGACAACGCTTCGTGGCCCCATAGGGAGCTCCACCGGAGGCTCCAGTGGCACAGGCCGCATGCGCCAACGCCATCCAGGACAGCGCTTCGTGGCCCCATAGGGAGCTCCACCAGAGGCTCCAGTGGCACAGGCCGCATGCGTCACCGTCACCCGGGACAGCGATTCGTGGCCCCATACGGAGATCCACCGAAGGCTCCAGTGGCACAGGCCGCATGCGTCACCGTCACCCAGGAAAGCGCTTCGTGGCCCCATATGGAGCCCCACCGAAGCCTCCAGTGGCACAGGCCGCATGCGCCAACGCCACCCAGGACAGCGCTTCGTGGCCCCATACGGAGCTCCACCGAAGGCTCCAATGGCGCAGGCCGCATGCGCCAACGCCACCCAGGACAGCGCTTCGTGGCCTCATAGGAAGCTCCCCAAAAGGCTCCAGTGGCACAGGCTGCACGCGTCACCGCCACCCAAGACAGCGTTTCGTGGCCCCATAGGGAACTCCACCGAAGGCTCCAATGGCACAGGCCGCATGCGTCACCGCCACCCAGGACAGCTCTTCGTGGCCCCGTAGGGAACTCCACCGAAGGCTCCAATGGCACAGGCCGCATGCGTCACCGCCACCCAAGACAACGCTTCGTGGCCCAACGGGAGCCCAATCGAACGCTCCAGTGGCACAGGCCGCATGCGTCACCGGGGGGGGGGTCCAAGCCCCCACCCCCGCACTCCCTGGCGCCGGGGAGGGGTTCAAACCCCCCCCTCGCGCCGGCGCGGGCGCTGGCGGCGGCCAGCAGCGCTGGCGCTGGCGCCGGCGACGGCGGGGACGCAGCGACGATTACCACCACTACCACCACCGCCACCACCACCACCACCACCGCCTCCACCTACCACCACAAACCGCCACCACCACCACAACAACCACCGCAGCCACCACCACCACCACAACCACCACCACAATTCACCACCACAACTCACCATCACCACCACCATCCCCCCAAAAAAACACCCACCACCACTAACACAACCACTACAATATACCACACCACCACCACCACCACCACAACCACCACCACTACCAGCAGCACCACCGACCGTCACCACCACAAACCACCACACCACCACCACCACCACCACCACCACCACCACCACACCACCGCCTGCACCACGTCCACAAACCACCGCCACCACCAACAGCACCACACAACCACCACCACAAACCACCACCACAAACCACCACCACACCAACATAACCACCACCACCACCACAACCCACCATCACCACCACCACCACCACAAAAAAACCACCACCAGTACCACCACCACCAATGTACCACACCGCCACTACCACCACCACAAACAACCACCACTACCAGCAGCTCAACCCAACACCACCACCACGAACCACCACACCACCACCACCACCACCGCCACCACCACCACCACCAGCACCGCCTCCGCAAACCACCGCCACAACCACAACCCACCACCACCACAACCACCACCACAAACCACCACCAAACCACCACCAAACCACCACCACCACAACCACAACCCACCACCGCCACCACCACCACAAATCACCACCACACCACCACCAAACCACCACCACAACCACCACCACCACCCGGCGCCACAACCACCAGCACCACCACAAACCACCACAACACCACAACCACCGCCACCACCGCCACCACCACCACCACCACCAGCAACAACCCACCACCACCACCACCACCGTCGTCCTCGTTGACGCGCCCCGCCACCACCGCCCGCCGCCGCAGGCGCCAGCGCCAACCCAGAAATGGAAATCGTCGTCCCCGCCGCCGTCGCCAGCCGCCGCCGCTGCAAGCGCCGGCCCGAAGAGAGCGGAAGCAAGGGGGGGGGTCGAGCCCCCACCCCCTCCGTCACGGGAGGGGGAAGGGGGGTTGAACCCCCCCCTCCCCCCTTCCAAAGAAAAGGGGGAGTCCGGTTCCGATCCTCCCCCCTCCAAGCGACCGCAGAACGCGCTCTTTCAGAGAAAAAGACAGAGAGAAAGAGAGAGAAAAAAAAAGAGAGAGAGAGAGAGAGAAAGAGAAAGAAAAAAAAACAAAGAGAGAGAGAGAGAGAGGGAGAGAGGAAAAAGAAAACAAAAAAAGAGAGAGAGAGAGAGAGAACAAAAAAAGACAGGCAGACAGACAGACAGAGAAAGACAGAGAGAGAGAGAGAGAAAGAGAGAACAAAATAGCAACAACAAAAACTAGCAGGGCAATGGGCGCGCAGAGAAATATGAAGGCGACAACAAGAATAACATAATAGGACGTCCAGCAGCGGCATGTTCGAGCACCGCGGGCTTGCCGCGCGGCAAGCTGGCGAGGGCCGAGAGGCCAGGCGGCGACAACTCGAGGCGCGGCGCTCTGCATTGCGTCGCTACGTCGCTGATTTGTTGGTCAGGGGTCACACGACTGCGCAAACTGCGCAGAATAGCGCGACGGCTGCGGGAAAAAAGCGCGAAAACAAAAGCTCGGCGAAGCACGGCCTGCAAGAACTGCGTCAAAGAGCCGACGACGTCACGACGAGCACCGTAGAATGCTGCGCGCGCGGAAATCTCGACAACAAGTTGGCCGCGAGACGAACTGCGCAAACGTCGCAAGGCAATGTCACCCGCAGTGTCCGACGCGCTTGCCGTCGCGATTGGTCGCGGGCCCTCGCGCCACAGGGCGCGTTCGCCCCTGTGCCCAAGCCTCGCGGTCGGTCGCCGGACCATTCGCATTGGGTTGGGCCGCCGCGGAGGGGGGCAGAGGAGGGGCGTCGGCCGGCGCCCGGGCCGCGCGCGCGGGGCGCCGCTTCCGCCTGTCCGACAAGCGCGCGACGCACTGCAATCGCGCGCGAAAGCTGGCGCCGCGCGAAGGGCGCGCGCCAAAAGCCGCCGACGCGTTGCTCGACGGCCAAAAGACACCCGCGCTTGGCCCGACAACGGCTGGCCAGTGCGCGCTCAGAAAGAAACTGCCTCGGTAGACTGGGCACCGGTGGCCCAATCCGCGCCCGGCGCCGAGCTCCGAGCGCTCGGGCAAAGCGGCCCTGTCCAGGCAATGACTCGGCAAAGCAAACCTCGCAGAGGATCTGGGCCCACTCGGCGGCGACCCTCAACGGACCAAGCAACGCCTG